TTTGTTGTAAACTGGGGGTGGTGTTTGTTGTAAACTGCGGGTGGTGTTTGTTGTAAACTGGGGGTGGTGTTTGTTGTAAACTGGGGGTGGTTTTTGTTGTAAACTGGGGGTGGTCTTTGTTGTAAACTGGGGGTGGTGTTTGTTGTAAACTGGGGGTGGTGTTTGTTGTAAACTGGGGGTGGTGTTTGTTGTAAACTGGGATGCATTTAATTTTAAGAGCCATAGTTGGAAACATTTAGTGCCAATAAGTTGGAATAGACTTCACGGATGGCACTGAGTTTGAATAGACTTCACTGCTGGGCACTGAGTTGAAATAGACTTCACAGCTGGGCACTGAGTTGAAATAGACGTCACAGTGGGGCACTGAATTTAAATAGACTTCACTGCTGGGCACTGACTTAAAATAGATTTCACAGCTGGGCACTGAGTTGAAATAGACTTCACAGCTGGGCACTGAGTTGAAATAGACTTCACAGCTGGCACTAAGTTCAATTAGACTTCACAGCTGGGCAGTGAGTTTGAATAGACTTCACAGCTGGGCACTGAGTTGAAATAGACTTCACAGCTGGCACTAAGTTCAATTAGACTTCACAGCTGGGCACTGAGTTTGAATAGACTTCACAGCTGGGCACTGAGTTGGATGGATAATAGACTTCACTGCTGGGCTATGAGTTGTTATAGACTTCACAGCTGGGCACTGAGTTTTGGAATAGACTTCACAGCCGTAAATGTTGAAAGAGTTATAGACTACTTGAAACAGAACCTGAACATTAACCTAATCTTACAAGAGTTGATTACAAAACATGATCTTGGAATTACTGGTCCTATCAGATGGACACTGTTTGAAACAGGTTGGTTGACTGAGTGGTGCTAAACTATCTAGGAGGTCTAAGTTATCTATCTAGGGGTCTAAAGTATCTAGAGGTTTAAACTATGATGTCTAAATTATATAGATGTCTAAACTGTCTATCCAGGGTCTAAGCTATATAGAGGTCTAAGCTATATAGAGGTCTAAAAAATATATCTAGAGGTTTAAACTATGTAGAGGTCTAAACTATCTATCTAGGGGTCTATCTGGGTTCTAATAGAGGTCTAAACTATCTAGGGGTTTAAACTATCTAAATGTCAGACTTAAATTTTAAAACATGGGGGGGGGGGAGCTTAAGGGATATGTTTAACTCTGGTGCCATCATCCCCTTAGTTCAGGGGTATTCAAACCTTTCAAACAAGTAGCCGGATCAGTGTGCCTCAGACACTATGGGGGGCCCGGACTGTAATTTGGAAAAAAAATATGAACGAATTCTATGCCCTTGAACATATCTCAATTGTATGCCCTCTGCAAATATCTCGTTTCTATGCACTCTGCACGTATCTCATTACGACGGGCAGAATTAAGGACCCCTTGTGGGCCGGATCTGGCCCACGGGCCGCAGTTTTAGGACCCCTGGATTAGATGGTAATAAAAAAGAACATGTAATTTAAAATAATTTTGTAATCTCTTTTACACGCGGCCATCACTGAAACATCAGGTGTGTATTGTCGCAACACTTGATCAGTTTGTAATGTTTTGTAATGTGTCTTTATCTGGCTATGGGTAGTGGACAAGAAAACGATTCATAGTGCATACTGGAAGAGTAGACACTCGATCGTGGGCCCTCAAACATAAAAAAAAAGGTTAGCAAGAGGCACGAAGGCAAGGAAAGATATTGTTAATGGCCTAAGTTCCATCGGCAGTTGAAAAGACGAAGCAGTTGTATTCAAAGTTTTACAATTGCAATCCTTTTTATGAAACGTAAATGATTTCTCATTGAATAAAACTGTTTTTTTTTATTTGAGTTTTCATATCCATATGGTTATATGAAAGTGGTTAAAAATCACTGGGTCATTGGAACTCTCTCTCTCTCTCTCTCTCTCTCTCTCTCTTTGTTTTTATCCCAACATAACCTCGGAATTCGTGTCAGGCCAAGGGGAATTCACAAATTATGCTACAGCACCTGTAGTTGGTGACCTTCTACTGAAGTGCTGCCAACCACTTCACCTTGGTAAATGTGCCGAAAAATATTGGACGTACGGGTCAATTTATATAGTAAACGTTAAAACTGCACACGTTCACCCTCTTAGGACTGTGTTTTGCCAACTGCAGCCGTCACTTATGCTCATACACTTTTATCAATTTTTCATCGTTTTTTTTTTTTTTTTTGGTTTGTTTCTGTTTGGTGGTGGGGTTGGGGGAGGGGGCTACGGGTTCAGGAAACTGGCTGTAAAGAAATTATATATAAACTCGGCATTGTCGTCTGCAAGAAAAAGTGCGGGCGTCCATTACTATTATGCTCTTATTCTTTTTTCGATTTTTCTTTGTTTTTTTTTTTTTTTTTGGTTTGTTTCTGATTGGTGGTGGGGTTGGGGAAGGAGGCTACGGGTTCAGGAAACTGGCTGTAAAGAAATTATATATAAACTCGGCATTGTCGTCTGCAAGAAAAAGTGCGGGCGTCCATTACTTCATCTTTGACCTGGGTACTTCTGTTGACAGCCTAAACATGATGACGAACACGGATCGGTACTTGGAGCTCATCTTCATGTAGACGAATATCCCGGTGGTGGCGTTGACGCCCTCCAGGAGGGTGGCCACGCACCACACCACGGTGAGAACGTTCGAGTAGTCTCCCGTGACGCTCAACTCTGGGTAGGCCAACATGGCGGCCGTGATCACGGCCACGGGAAGATAACTCGCGATGAACACGCACGAGATCGAGGTGATCATCCTCACGACCTTGAGGTCGCGAACGGCCATCGTCTCGTTCTTGGCGGAAGAGGAAATGGTGTTCCGCCATTTTGTTTTGCTGAGCAGTTTAAAAATCAAAAGGCACGTGCAGAGCGTGACGCTGGGGAAAGACGAGAGGATGCTCACATTGTTGATGGTGACCGACGCCCTTTCGAGCTCTTGTCCGTTTGGGATGAATTTCAACGACAGCGTCGATCGATTGGTGAAAGGGTTTGACACGGAGTCGATTCTGGTGGCGAAGAACGGCAGAATCATACTCGACATCATGGCAGCAAATATTCCAGAGACTATGCATGCCGTCCTACGCGGCGTTATGATGGATTTAACCTTCAAGGGTAAAGCCACGCAGAGGTATCGCTCCACGGTGATGTAAGCCGTGAGGCAGCTCGAGACGCGCGTGAATCCGATGTGCAGCCACGTTATCAGATACGATACTGGGAGGTAATCGAATATCAGGTCGGGGTAGCTGAAACAGTTCAAGAGCACGAGCACGACGGATGATCCCAGGTCGGCCAGCGCCAGGCCCAGGAGGGTGATGTTGACGGTGTCGCCGAGGCCCATCTTTAGGTACACGGCGACGTTGATGCCGTTGAAGACGATCCCGGAGAAGCCGGTGATCCCCATGACGACGCTCAACGCCAGGGCCACGACGGCGGTGATCTCATTGCTCAACAGCGGTCCGGTCCGGACGATGTCAGGCAAGCTGGGCAGAGATGAGTTCTCCATGTCTTAAGTCTAGGTCAACAGTGAGTGAATTCGAACACTGATTTTCAATGTATTTATTGTATCAAATTGTTTTACGATCGAAAGCAAAACCTGATGCATCAAGGGAAAAAAAAAGGTTTGTTGATGAGCTCTGTTCTATATTTGGCAATGACTCAAGAGGAAGTCGAAAAACTTCTTTGGCCAAATCCGAAAAAAAAAAAAAAAAAAAAAAAAAAAAAAAGAAAAAAAA